GTCGGGGATCCACCAAGGCTGTCTCCAGCTGGACATGTCTCATCGCCGTTGCAAAGAACTGCGGCGCACTCACGGCGCAGTTGATCGCCTGCGATGCGCCCTTACTACTCCCAGCGGAGATGATCAGACAGCTCGGCATGGTTCTCGACGCACGCGGCGGCGCGATCACTTGGAAGGCGCTCGACGGCAGCCAGTCGAGCGCCCACGAGGTCGGGGCGGGCAAAAACATTGATCCATACTTTTGATTTTCCCGGGGAAGGTTGGCAGAGAAAGCAGAAAATCAGAACAGTCTCTCCCATGACTCAGGGGCGCCACCAAGTGGCCGAGCCCGAGGAGAACACGCCCCACGCGAATCCGCAGGCACCCTTGGCTCATACCTGTCTTTCTCAGCCAACAGCCTGCTCCCCCGACGCCCCGTGCACTGTCGAACCGCGCGGAGCTCATTCTCGCCGGGAAGAGGCCCCTGCCGGAACCTCCGACGAGGTTCGGTCAGCCCGCGACGACCCCAGAGAAGCGGACGTGGAACTGGAAGCAGTTATGTCTGAAGTTGGTCTCCATTCTGGACCGCGCGGCCATGGGGCGCCGCGCAGAAACCCGCGCCAGGGCCAACACCTACCAGGACTTGCCCGGGACGCCAGGAGCCTGGATCAGGAGGCGGCACCCTCCACGCCGCCCTCGCGACCCACGACCGTTCCCCCGAGTTCTGAAGATCAGCAGCGGGGAGTGGTTCTCGGCGGGCAAGAGGCTGGAGGCCGACGGCTCGGACACCAAGAAGACCGACCAGTCCCTGCGCACGCACCCCGAGAAGATGCTGCGCCATCGGGGCAAGGAGACCCTGCGGTGGACGCGCGACGACTGCCAGACGCGCTAGACGAGGCCCCCGATCGACAGCCCCATCAACACTGGCGCCCCAGACAACACGGAACGAGCGACATTCGGGAGGCTCGCAGGTTACAACTTCAAGGAGATCTACGAGGTGGACTTCCAGCATTGCGAGTGGCACACGAGGACCCACGAGCCAGACGACCCAGAATCATATCAACAACTCCGACGCTTGGCCACGTACGCGGCCGAGCGCGAAATGCGCGAGAACATCGTGGACGGGGACGGCTTCGAGACGATGGTGGAAGGGGCGCGACAGCTGACGGATTCGCAGACAGAAGATGTTTTCGACGGTCGCAGGGGCACATGTCCGAGTGCATCCGGAACCCCGCGACACTCTCTCCGATCCGACCGAATCTGTCGGCTCCCTATCTGCTGGCGAGTTTACCAACGAGCGGATGGCAGAGGTTGTCTACTCAGATGGTACTATTGAATTCAGCCAGGATGCTTGGTCTGAACCGTCTTCTGCTCGTAATTTTGGACAAGAAATGGACTGGTCGTACTCTCTGTAATCGCAAAGCTGCTACTAACATGATGTTCGCTGGTGCGTTGCTGGCAAGCACCTATCCTCAGAGCAGTTCATTTCTCCAGATGCTACCAATGGAAGCCTGGCTGGTCCAGCATTTGGTAAACGCGCTGCCGTGACCAGGCAGTTCCGGGCAGTCCGCCACTCCGCAGGTTTCGGTCGAGGCGGCCGAGGCGAGCAGGGCAGAATGGCGATTGATACTGTGGCAGACCACCAATGGAGCCTACATTTCATCTTCGGAGCTCGACGAGGACGGCATTGGAACGATCCCTCACCAACAGGTGAAGCAGATAAAGCAGGCACCTTTAGTGAACAATACCAGTCTGAGTCTTCGTTTGGAAGCAGCTCCAGAAGATGATGGGCCTGAAGATATTCCTGTCGGCGACCCCAACGCCGAACCTGATATCGATGACGAAGTGCCTGATCAGCCAGACTGGACACATACTTCCGATCAGTTGGCCGATCTCAAATTTGCCCGTGGCAAGCACGACCGAGCCGAAAACGAAGCCGGCCAGCAACCAGCGCCGAGAGGCGAGGCAGACGGACGCGACCGAGCGCCGCGGACGCCACGCGCGAACCGGGCGACCGAGGAGACGACCCCGACGCCAGGAGACAAGGACGCGGACGACCACGGAGGGCAAGCAGGCGGGGGCCACGCGACGCGAACCATGAGCCGAACGCACGAGACGCACAGGGGCCAACCAGAACCGAGCCGAGCGAGCCAGGGCCAACGCGAGCACGAAGAGCGGGCCGAAAGAGGAGCAACGACAAAGCAGACGGAAGACAACGCAAATTTCATCGGGCCCGCCCGTCCTGCACATGCCGCGGTCGCCCGCGCGGCGCCGCGGCGCGCGCGCGCCCCGTCGGGTCGCGTGCGCATCTGCGACCCCCGCCTGCACGGCGAACGCGCGCGCACGCCTGCCAAGCAATCTACGTGCACCTGCTGGACGCGCACCGCGTGCGTGCGCCTGTTGGCCGCGCGCAGTTCCCCGCTGCCCCCCAACGAATTGCGCCCGCGAGCAAGCGAACTCGTGCGCCCAACGCAGCGGGCGGCGGCGCAGAGCGCACCGGGTCAGCAAAGCCACGGCGGCCACTGGAGACCAGGGTGGATGGCAGGCACTTGCACCGGCGGCCAGAAGCGCAGCAGCAGGCCCAGGCGGCACCCTGCCTGGCGGCAGCCGGCTCTGCTGCACCAGCACACAAGGCGGGGTGGCAGAGCTCCTACCCCGTGGCGGCGGCCGCTGCGGCAAGCTCGAGTCGGGACGGTTTTGAGCCAGTAGCTGCGGTGAGCGCGCGCGCACGCAAACACGCACACACACACACACACACACATACATACACACACACACACACACATACACCAGGTTAGCAAAGTTGGCTGAAGAATTGTCCTTATCATTATCGTGTTGGGGTTTGGGTGCACTGTATAAGACGACATTTCGGGTGACAAGGATATTGGGGGTGCAGCTTTATGTTTTCGATTGGCTCCGCGTCGCATTTCGGGTGACAAGGATATTGGGGGTGCAGCTTTATGTTTGCGATTGGCTCCGCGTCGCATTGTCAAGGCATAATGTTCAAATTCCCATGGTTCGTCAAGGCCTTCCGAATTCTTTAACCTAGCACTCTTCTAACCGTTCCAACACATTATAGCTGCTCTAATCGCTCGAGCCTTTGTATGATACCTACCCCTTCTAGCTCCTGTAAGCGCTCTAAACTTTCTGGCCCCTCTGACTTTTCTAATTGTACCACTGACAACCCAGCAAGGAACCGTGGTACGACCGCACGGGACAATGGCAGGACAACCACGGGACATCCGCACGTGACGACCGTGGGACAATTTCGGTGGCGGGGGGAGCTGTGTCAGGGGGTTCGACTGGTCAATCTCACCCTCCTCCTCTTCCCCACTCCTGACCCCAGCCATTCCCGAGCCCGAGAGGAAGCCAGGGGCCGCAAGCGCGAGTTGGAGAATGCTGCCTCCGAGGCGAGAGCGGCGCCTGGGGGGTGCTGGGACGACTCCCAAGGGCGAGGGTGTGACGTCGCTCCTGCCGTCGATGTGCTGTCCAAGATTCGATCGGCTCCATGATGCGTGTCGACGTCTGTCCGCGGCATTGGTCTGGTTCGATGACGCACACAGGGCAGCCCCCCCACGCGGACGGGGTTTCGACACGACCAGCTTGCTTCTGCGAGTGGTTTGATAAATCTGCGAGCGAGGCAGCCTTTGGGAAGCTGTGGCCTTCCAGAGGGCCTCTCTGGATTCCGGTGTGACATTGCACGGACGGATTCGGCGCGCAGGGAAGTTTCTTAGGAGCAGGCGCCATGCCACGGGGGGGGTATCCGAGCGAGCTCGCCCCAGTACTACTCGATCTCGTCCTCATCCTGATCCGCCTCGTCCCCATCAGCATCCCTGACCGCGGAGGCCTCTGCTCCCCCTTTCGTCCTCTGGGTCACCCAGGGTGGCCGTGTCCATTGGCATTCAAACAACAGATTGGACGTGTCGGGTCCATGCCTTGGCAATTTCGCTCACTGTTCGGCGGCACATGTTTTACCAAACACAGTGACAGCACCACCAAAGTTCGTGCGCACTAGATGTCGAACATCATGTCAGCACAACTTGTGAAACAAACATACATGTGGATGTTGCGATCTTCTCGTGCTGGGGGCACGTCTTCAATGATGTGCCTCACCATTGCGTGGAGTGATTGTAGCATCGTAGCGTTTCCAAACGCATGCAAGGCATCATGTGTCTGATGGTTGGTGCGAAGGCCTGCCTAACCACGCCGAGGAAAGGTGTAGTTGCTGCTGCTTCACATGAGCTGACTGACGCTTCGTGTATCCCCATGTTTTCTCGGAAACGATCACCAGGCGGGCTGTCGTGAGAAAGCTAACGCTGAATGTAAGTGAAGCACAAGGAGAAGGAACGTGTCAAGCCGAAGTTGGGGTCATCCCGCGCGGCCCCAAACAATAGCAACATTGAGAACCTTTCGGCGCCTCCTCTGGGCCATATTGGGGTTCTCTTGGGGCAATGTTGGACACTGTTGGGGCCCTGTTGGGAGTCGTTGGGGCCATGTTTGGGTTATCCTGGGCGCCAGTGGCTCAGAAGACAAACGCTGCAAAATGGACCCAATGATGCTCGAACTAATCGCCTCGTGCGGTCCTCTTGGGGTGATGTTGGAAGCCGCAGGGGTCGTCTTGGGTCCTTTCTGGGCCCCTCTTGGGGCTACCTTCGGCCATCTTGAGGCCTCGGAGGCACGTTTGCAGCGAAGAGTCGAGAAGGAAGTGATCATTTTCAAATGTTGGAGCAATATGTGGCTTTGGCCGCTCGGGGGCATCCCAATGAGGCTCAGTGGCCACCTCGAGCTTTTTGCTACTTCATGGAGCCATGTTATAAGCCATGTTGAACCAAGTAGGGTCTGATTGAGTTCTCTTAGAGGCCATAATGCGCTATCTGCGGCGGCAACCTTAAGCCAGATTGGACGTTCTAGCTGCTGGCTGCCTCCCCTTGTCCTGGCCCCAGGGATGGGGCAGCAGGAGGACACACAGATCGCCACCCCACACGCCTCCTGATCGGCCGCAGGACGGTCGCATAGGGCTTCGGACACCCAAGCTCCGCCGTGGCAGAGATTGTCGTCGGCATACCCAGCCAGAGGTGGAGGAGTGTCCCTGGCGCACTCCGCAGGCGTCCGAGGGGCGCCCAGCTGCGCTCCCGCATCCCCCTGGGCGCGCGCCCCCCGATGCCCGGGCGGGCTGCGGGGAACCCGCGGTCGTGCGCGCTGCCCGTGGCCCTGGGGCCCCTCGGCGCCCGGGCGGTGGCCTGCACCTTCGGCGCCTACGACTGCTCCAGGTGCGAGCAGGACCGCACGAGGAGGAGGAGGAGGAGGAGGAGGCGGAGGAGGAGGCGGAGGCGGAGGAGGAGGAGGCGGAGGAGGAGGAGGAGGAGGAGGAGGCGGAGGAGGCGGAGGAGGCGGAGGAGGAGGAGGCGGAGGAGGAGGGGTGGCGTTCGGAGGTCTCCACCGAGCCTCCCGCGCGCCTCGCCCGGTCCCCTCGCCCGGGCAGCGCTGTTGGTCGCGAGCCTTCTGCCCACGCCTCGACCGTGCCGGCAGGGCGGGCCAGGCGTTTCGCTCGGAGACATGTGTTGCCACTCGTGAGCCCCAAGCGTGCGTGCACCAGCAGCTGCACAGATGCTGGGCGGCGGGTGTTCAAAATGCGGCCCTCGCACCGCGCAGATTCGTTACCAGAGTTCCCCAAAGCTACACGGGTGGAGGGCGGCGGGTTTGCAAGATGTGGATCTGGCTCTTGCGGCGCGCACACTGTCTGCTGCAACAGCGCCCAACAGTTTTGCGGATGGTCGGCGGCTGGCTTACGAATTTCTCGATCGTGCGTCGCGCACATCCGTGCCAAAAGTCCCGAACTGTTCATTAAACGTACTGAGAGTGGTTGGTTTTCAGAACATCAGCCAGCGTTGATTCAAAATACATAGGAGGACAGGAGGAGGACGAGAGGAGGATGGGAGGAGGACGAAAGGAGGACGGGAGCAGGACGGGAGGAAGACGAGATGAGCAAAATCAAGCAAGCGCAAGCAAGCAAGCGGAAGCAAGCAAGCGCAAGCGAGCAATAACAAGCAAGCAAGAGCCAGCGATCAAGTGCAAGCAAGCAAGGGCAAACAAGAGCAAGCAAGTGAGAGCAAATAAGGGGGGGTGCCATTGGAAAAAGGGGGGGGGGGGGGGCGTTCCATTGGAAAAAGAGAGGGGGGCCCAAAGACCAATTACTGAGAATGAGCTAGGACTCCTTTAGGGCAAGCCTATTTGAAGAGTGTGGCCCCAGAAATTCAGATTTGCGCAATTGCTGCAGGGACGGATAGCGGCTCCTTCACAAAATGGGGCTATCACTTGTGATTTCTTCGGGCTCCAGCACAATTTTCGTAAAACCGTACAACAGCTAGACGGATGGAGGGCGGTTACCTTTCGAAACGGGGATCTCGTTGGGCATTTCCTTGAATTGATTGCCTCTTGGCGTGATCTACAGCTCGAAAGATGGAGGGCGGCTTCTTTTGAAAACGGGACTCTCGCTTGAATTGCACGCCCATAGGACGCTCGGCTCTCAAGGAGGGCGCATCCAGACGAATGGTTGTAGGGTCTCATGAGGAGAGAGCTCGTTGATCACCGTTGACGCATCCTGGGCTTACTATTGTCCTACTCCTCCAATTCATCATCATTACCTTGCTCTGTCCTCCTGTTTCTCGTGCTCTTCCTCTTCCCCTCCTCTCTCATTCTGCTCCTTGTGCTTCTCAGCCTCGCCCCTCCCTTCCCCATTCATCATGGCCCTCATTCCTCGGGTATCCCGGTGAGCGCGCCGACCTCTGGTTAGTCGTTCCTTCCCTTGGCGAGGGCAAGGGCGGGGATTGGCGCAAAGCCCCATGGCGGCGGCGCACAAGTGCCCCGGCTGGCTTCCTGCGGAGCCGCGGTTACATCAGACCTCAGACGTCGTGGTTTGTTCAATGCCGAATTCTTTCTCGGCATCAGCCCCCAGGGGCCGCTTTCCGACCTCAGGACTATCAAAAACAACCCCAGCGCGGAAAAAAACGCTCCTTATTCTTACTCGTTCCGTTCGCTTTCGAGAAGGAGGAAGGGCGCGGAGGAGGAGGAGGAGGAGGAGGAGGAAGATCTGAGTAAACCCAGCACGCATCATTGATTCTGCAACATACCCTCCCGTCCCAAAGCCCTTCATCATAAGCGAACGCAGGTATTCCCCTGACTACTGGGCGCCCGCTGGAAGGTGACGGCCCCATGGGCAGGTTACAGTCTCTGCACATGGGAACGCCAGACTGATGATGTCCCCGTGTCTTGCAGTCAACAGTGGAATATGGTTGCATCGGTGTCGTCGTCGGCGTCGCGGGCGTCGTCGTCGTCGTCCGCGCCTTCCCAAGCGCCATCGTCGTCGCCGACGTCGGCACCGTTGCCACCGTCGTTGTCGCCAATGGCGTGGTCGTCGTCGTCACCGCTGACCTCGCCGTCGTCGTCGCCGTGGTCCTGGCCATCAGTTCTGACTGGTGCAGTACTCCACTGATTTCGGTAAGAGGCTTGGGACTTGAGTATGTGGGAAGAGTTAGAGCGTCACGACCTTGCCACAGGAAGTAGCATGGCTGGAGTTATGAGAATCCAACAGGATGAACAAAACGAACCAGCTCTCACATTCATAGTTGACGCCGTAACGAGCCGAAGCGCGATGGGTTTGGTAAGGAAAGACCCTCCACCCATATGGCTCTGAGAATGCTAGCGGCGCCGATGCGAGATTACATGCTTAACATGAGTCGTCCTCCATCCACACGGTTGTTAGTGAGTTCAAGCTTTGGAGTGGTACATTGTGTTGGCTTGCAGACGGAGCGCTCCTCAAAGAAGGCTCCGAATGTCAGTTGACAAACTCCCAGGGCGCCAGCTGACAATCCGCCGCTGCGCTTGCAGACAACCCGTTGGGGCGCTTACTGACAACCCGCTGTGGCACCTACTGGCAAGCTGACTGTCATTGGGTTGTCAATTGGATTGCCAGTAGGTTGTCAGTGGATTGTCACGGTGTCAATGGCTGGCCTGGGAGTCGAGGCGGAGGGGGGAGGGGGAGGCGAATGAGTCAGTGCCCCCGTGATTGCCCTCCCCCCCTCAAGTGCAATAGGGGTCGCATGGATGGGGGACGAAAAGAAGCCCACTGAGAACGCACTGACAATCCAACTGACAACCCGCGGTTGTCATTGAGGCCCCTGGCGGGCTGCCAGTGAGCAGCCTACCGGGCACCTCTGGTGGAACTCCAGCGGTTTCCCACTGGGCCCTCTAGTTGTCAGTGAGCCCACGGTCGGTTATCAGCGAGCCCCCGCCAGGTTGTCAGTGCGACCCCCGTTGGGTTTGTCAGTACGGAGCTACGCGGCTTTCTTTGGACGGCGCTCTCAGTTCTCTGTTTGCCCGCCCGACAGATCGCGTGTACCTGCTGGAAGGTTCAGGCTTCAGGCCCATGAGTCGCGAGGAAGTCCCAAGCGAGAACCATAGTGTGAAAAACATCTGCCCTCCACCCGCATAAGTATTTGAAACATCAAGTCTAAGGACCACAGATCGCAAGAATGTGCAAGGACATTGCAGGCGAGAACCGAGTTCTCCCCATGCTCGCAGCTGTTGACTTATAACAAAAACTGCAGCGCTACAGCTTGTGAGGAAGCCGCCGGGGAAACGTCCATGCGGCCCTAGCGACACGCCTGGTGGGGCGACGAGGAGGAATTGTTCATTTGGAGTATGGATGGGAGACTGAAGAGGAGCAACCTTCCGCCGACCTCATTAGAACCTTCCAGAGCCCCCTCCTCCTTCCTCCCCCTCCTCTGGGCACTCCGCACCCGAGGAGCACGGCTGCACATGCGGAGCCTGCCACCAGCTGCCGCGCACGATCTGCGTCAACGGCAGCGGGAGCGGGACGTGCCGCATGGCGTGCCAGGAGCGAATACGTTCTTCTTGTTCCTCCGAGTCCCTCCTCCTACTCCACCCTTTTCTCTCCACCCTTCTCCGGATTTGACTTGTCAATAGAGGACCTTGTGCGCGAGATTGGTGCTCGGAAGGCGGGTGGCTCGCATCCCAGATTGAGCTCCGCATCATGGTTTTTCATTGTCGTGGTGAGGGGGTCCCGCTCACGCAAGTCCCTTTTCTGTCGTGCACGCCACGGCTCCCCCTCACTCCTACGCGCCTTTGCGGGGGCGCTGGTCGGTACTCGTCTGCGCTCACTTCTAAACGAGGAGGGTTGAGGGCCTCGGCTAATACCATGGTCGCATGCTGTTGTTTAGCACAGTGCAAAAGGGCCTCTCAAGGACCCTTCCAATCATGTCCCCGAAGAGGCTTCCGGGGACATGATTCTCGTCCCCTCCAGACATGTTCCCAGAGAGGCTTCCGGGAACATGTTTCATGTTCCCGGACAAGGGGGGAAAAGCGGGGCTTGGTTTCGGAGAGTGCGTGGGCGTGGCATGGACTTCGCAGTGCATCACGTCTCTGTCGGTCAGCACGCACCTCCTTCGTAGCCACGCTGGCCCAGCTTTCATACGTCCGTGAATCTCCCGCCCGCCCTCGCCACAAAGGGGGGGGTCAGGGTGCGCCTCCTGAGACACGGGCTGGTCAGCCTCGCGGCCGCCCAGGCGTCGGCAGTCCGCTTGCCAGCGCCTGCCGGCCACGCCGCCCAGACTCGACGATTGAGGCCCCACGGACCCAGGTCGTCTCGCCTCCTCGCCTGCCCGAGCCTGGTGATCCGAGCCCCCCGGGCGTAGGCCACCTTCGCTTACACGAGGCTGATGATTCGAGCCCCACGGGCTTGGGTCATCTCCACCTCCACGAGGCTGTTGATTCGGGCCCCACTGGCCTAGGTCATTTCCGCCTCCACGAGGCTGATGATTCGGGTCACACGGGCCTGGTCATTTCCGCCCCCCCGAGGCTGATGATTCGAGTCCCCCCCCGGGCTCAGATCATTTCCGCCTCCACGAGGCTGTTGATGCGAGCCCCACGGGCTTAGGTCTTCCTGGCCTCCACGAGGCTGATGATTCGGGCCCCCCGGGCTCAGATCATCTCCGCCCCCACGAGGCTGATGATCCAGCCCCACTGGCCTAGGTCATTTCCGCCTCCACGAGGCTCACGATTCGGGTCCCCCGGGCCTGGGTCGTCCTGCACGGCGTCATCTTAGCCAGCCGCTCCGACCTGACGACCGTGAAGGATTTGGCGCACTTGGTTAAAAAGGAATATGTGCCGCCTCTCTCGTTTTCTTGGGGTGGCAGGGAGGGTAGCACCGAGCGAGTCCCTCCTCTTCCCTCCTCCCCCTCCCCCTGACACACTGGCCCACTGATGGCAGACATGTCAGTCCGACGCAGCCATCCCCCCCCAGGGCTGGTGAACCCTGGGGGGATGGCTACGTCGGACCGTCGGAAGTGATATCGCTGGCTAGTGAGCCAGGCGACTCCAGGGGACTCCAGGGGTGGTCGCCCCTAGAGTCGCCGGCCATTGGATAAAGGTAACTGACAGACAGGCAGCATATTGAGCAGAAAAAGTAAGGGAAGGGGAAAACGGACCTCATTACCTCGAGGAGGGAGAACGATGAGGGCACGTGGTGGCGAAGCGGCGGCTGTGTGTCGGTGTGGCACAAGCGGGAAGAGCGCGACGTAGCCGCACTCACCAAGGTGGATAGCGCAAGGGCCTCCCCGACTCCCGCAGGGCACTCCTTGGGAAGGGCAGTCCCACCCGAGAATCTTCCCTCCCCCTTTTGAAGCAAGCGATGAGTTCCAACTGGTGGGAACTGGGGCCTATCCAGGGGTGCCCAGTGGGGACGCGGGGGGTTGCGCCATCCGCTGCGGCGGCCGCGGTTGTTGTCCCTCCGTCCTCCGCCCGATGCGACCTTGAAAGCCCAACCAGCAGTGAGTGGTGGGGAGCGACGACGGCATGCGGTGGCGGGAGGTGACCAGGTAGAACGGGCGAAACGGGGTGAGGAGTGTGGCGTATGCTCTGCGAGTGCGGTGCGGCCGCAGGCACCAAGTGCACGGCACGAGGGCCTCTCCGATTCCCCGCAGGGCACTCCGTGGGAAGGGCCCCAGTCCGACCTGTGGAGCCCTCCCTCGCCGAGGCAGGCGATGGGCTCCGACAGGGGGACTGGAGCCTATTCAGGGGTGCCCAGTGGAGATGGGGAGGTTTGGGCATTTTCTTTTGCGGAGTTGGGCGCCCTGGCGCGGACGGCCGAACGACCCCTGCAACGGGACACCCTGGCCACGCGGTCGCCGCCGCAAAAACTGTCCGTTGAACGCTGGCGCCGCGCAAAGGCGGCGCCGAACGGCGCCGCGCACGGTCGCGCGGGCCATCCTGGGTGGCGGCCGCGGTCGTCGTCTCTCCCTTCCCAACCTCATGACTCACCCCCACCCTCAGTTGGCTTACGATGAGCGATGAGTGCGAGAGCCTGGAGGGTGAGCCTATGGTACATGTATTGAGAAGCGCGCGCAAGAGTCGATTCTCCAATCCGAGTCGCCACACTCGGGCATGGCATCGGATAGAAGAATGAGGATGACCGCTGGGAGCAAGTGGGTGGAATGAATTGGCAGGTGGGTCGAGGGGGACACGCGCACTAATGGTGCAAGCCTAGGTTCGGTTGAGCGAGAATGGAATGCGGCTGGGTTCGCATCAGCTTTCTGTGCCTGTGGCCGCGGCTGCCATAGCACTAGCCAAAACAGCCAGCGGTGAGATGCCCGTGCCCCGTCCCCATTTATGACCCCCCAGCCCGCCCCCACAAGGGTGGGAAGGTGAAGGTCAGAAGGAAAGGTGAGCCAGGAAGTAGTGAAGGGTGGGTGAGGTCCTTCTCAGAAGCAATTGAAAGGAGGCCCTTCGTGTTGCTACCTCCGAGGCAGCAGCTCGCAGCTGATGATCCAACGTCCCCACCAAGGAGGCGCATGAGAGAGCTCAATCCACTCGTTGGTGTGGTTTCCACTGCGATGCGTCGATCAAGTATCATACGTGGGTGAGAAAGCCACGGCGGGTTTGGGAGCCTTGTCTGACCGTGGACCAACTGAATGGCATAGCCTGTTGTAGGTGTGCGCGCCGTGAATGTTGTGCTGCTGTGATCGCCGCGAAAATATTCGCAGAGGTGGGCGTGTGCCGTCGCCAGAAACATTATGAGGTGGGAGTTGCAGAAGGATGGGTGGCCAGTGCGAATCCAAACGTTACTGCTGCCAGGTGTCCAGTGAGTGCGGCGACTTGGTAAAAGGGTTGTGTTGAGAAAGGGATGTGAAAAAGAGCAGCTGGTCGCGGGTGGAATCTGCTGTCGGTCTAGTGGAGCAAAGTTGGTCAAAATTGGGGGAGGCAAGTGACGCCCCGATGGGCAGCCTCTTCGGCCGGTCCCACCTTGCCTGGGGGCACACACGCTGCCGCTGCCTGCCCTCCCCCCTCTCTCTCGCCGTCCTCGACCTCGTCCTTGCCCTCGTTCCGGCCGTGTTTCACGAGGCGGATGCCCCGAGGAGACGCCCGTCACGATGCTTGCAGCGACGCCCAGAGGCCTGGGTGTTGCGCACCGCCGGCTTTTCTCTCCTTCCTTTTCCTCCGCCTCGTTCCAGGCGCGTTTCACGATTTCAGTGGCAATGCGAGTGGTGTTACGGAGTGCACTCCGCATGGTCATCCGTGCGCGTTGGCGGTCAGGCTGCGTGCACGTCCAGGCCGCTCGGCGAGAGCACGCCGTTTCCTCCCTCCCCTCCCCCTTTCTCGTCCTGCCCCTCCTCGTCCTCCTTCCTCCTCGTTCCGGCCATGTCTCACGTTTTTAGTGGCAATGCGAGCTGCAGAGTTGCATGCGTAATTGTCGGCACGCATGGGCGGCTGCTCACCCCCAGCTTGATGGAGGTCGCTCCCGCTGACGCCCCGCCTGTGGCAGCCACGCCGTGCCCCTGGCACTGCTAGGGGCGCTTCCTTTTCGTAGTCTGCACCGCCTCTTCCAAGGCCTACAAGAATACTGGGCAGGTGCCACCGAAGCCTCAATTGTGTAAGGTATGTATTAATTCTGTATGACTTGCATTTGGATGAGTGCCACCTGCGCACTCGTTCGTTGAACATGCTTTGCAGTTGCCCTCCATTCAAGCACGTCCCGTCTTGAGGCGTCAGCCTCTTGCTGTTGTGGGTGACCAAGGGGGAGGCTCGTGATTCTCCAGAGGTGGTCGGCTATGCGGGTTGGCAACCCTGTGCGAAAGGCGGTCACGGTGTCCATGGTGCCGTCGCTTCCGCTTGGTTGGCGGCATCGTTGCTTGCCAGTTGTGGTGATGGCGTCGGGTTTGGACCAGTGTGGGTAGTCTTGGATGCGTCGATGGCCTGCTTCGCAGCGTGGCCCAGGTTGACGTACCCTAGTATGCCGCGTCCTAGTTGTCGTCGTGGGTTGCCTCCATATCGGCTATCAGCGGTGGGTACCTCGTGTCGCAGATGTCGTTGCCAGTTGTCTGGATGTTGCCGTCCGTGATCATGATGCGAGTTAGTGGTGGCCTTCGATGGGTGGTATCGGTGGCGGTCGCCAGCCATGTGTGCTTATCATCGATCAGGCGTCGGATTCTGGCTGATGTCTCTCGTGTCTGTAGAGAGGAAAAGATCCCTGCTGAGGGTGTCAGTGATGGGGAGTGAGTCCGGGTCCTGTGGGATAAGCCCGGTAGGTGCGAGGCCCGACACCGTGGGCGCTGTGGCGCTGTTGGTCTGTGCCGTGGTGCTCGGTTCTCCTGGCCCATGGTGGTTGCCCGTGGGCAGCTCCCTGGGCCTCGAGCAGCTCGTTGATCTTCTCGCTGGCCCGGTTGGCGACCTCTCTCTGGCAGGTCGAAATCGCGAAGGGTGCCGCTTCTGGCGTAGGGCTGTGGCGCATTCCCAGCTTGACGTGCGTGAGGAGGTCGAACCTCTCCCTAGCGGCTGCTGCTGGCGTAGGTAGGTCTTGGCGGTATGCGACCATCGTGGCCAGCTGGTGGTTAATGAAGTGAGCCAGGGAGATCTGTTGGCGGGTCATCGTGAATGGCCGCGTTGCCGTGAGTGCCTCATAGCGCATGCAGTACGTGAGGGAGGCGGCGACGTAGGTCATCAGGACGTCGCACTCGCATCGCATGATGCGGTTGGGGTCTATGCCCCAGTCGTAGCTAGACTGCGCGTCACTGATGCCAGCGATGGTTTCCGAGATCATCTTGTGGACGTTTATCTTGAAAAGGTGAGTAGTCTGTTCGTGGTAAAGCTGCTGACGTTGTCAGTCGGGAGCGGGATAGCGTCTTGCTGGAGGTCTATCCGAGAGAATTCTGATCTCATGCCAATACGCGGTTCCTCTATGGGTGGGGCGGCCTGCTCGTAGACAGTATCCACGTGCGGCCTGATCAAGGGTTTGACGATGGTTTTGGCAGGCGGCGGTTTGTACGGCACTTGCGCTGGATGTGTACTGCTGCTGCTCTGCGCAGTAGGCCCGTCGTTTACGGGCGTTGCTGTCTTTGGCTGAGTTTGGACGGCACCCCTTGGTATGGTAATGCTTTGTGTTTGGGTATGGTTCCGTCCTGCCCGAGGATCCTGTCGTCTGTCATCTCGCGCACCCCTGCCTTTGCTGTCACTGGTGGGGGCGCGGCGGCATTATGTGGGGGTGTCGCCTTGGCAGGTACGATTATTACCGGCGGTGCTTTACAATGTGTCTTGGCCATCGGTGGAGCCTTGGCGCTATGGTCGACGGCGCGGGGTGGAGTGCTGTCAGTGGCTGCCGTCGACGATGACGCTGTAGTTGCTGCCCTGGCTGGATCGATGTCCTGGGATTGCTGCGGCACCCCGTTGTGGACGTCTGCGAAGTGGTTGCCGTGGTTCGCGGAGCCACTCGCCGAAGATGCGCCGCGCTGATGGTGAGGCTTGTGGGTTGCGGGTGCGGGTGGTTGCGCCGTCTGGATCTGCGCGATGATTCTCGATATTTTCTCGTAGCTGAGGACGGCGTCGGACTGGTGTTGGGTAATGAGGTGGATGAGGCCCACACGTGGGTCGTCCGCCTCGATGCAGGCGAACAGATGTTCACTCTTCAGGTGCTGTATGTCCATCTTGATGGTGTCCAGGGCGTTCTTGTGCTCGTAGTCCCTCTTGTACCTGAGGATGCTCTCGCCGAAGACGGATATGTCACGTAGATCGATCTTGCTTGCGGCGATAGGGACCTTGCTCTGGGCGGGGTTAGTGGCTGGTGTTAGCCTCTCGTCGCAATTAGTGGATTCCTCATCACGTCGAAAAACTGCTTTCTTCCAATCTGGTCGTAGCAAGACGTTGCCAGGATCGTCCCATTCGGACTCACGGGTCTCGATGCTGCAGCAGTACACTTGAGCGTTCCAGTGGAGTGGGGTCTCGGTTTTGTAGACAACCCATGGCTGAGACGCTGGCAGTTGGTGCCGATGGTAGAGCGGCATGCCGGCCGGGAGGTCGAGTTGCCTCAGTGCTTGCGCCAGAGCGTGTTCGGTCAATGTGTGGTAGTTTCGGCGGATAGTATGGGCGGCGGCGGGCAGTCTGGTGGCGGTGGGTCTTTCTGGAGTTGTGGGTAGGGGGTCGGTCTGGCAGTCGGAGTTTTGTTTGCGGTTTTGGGGTTCGTGAGCGTAGTCCGCGGCGGCCGTGACCGCCCTCTTCGCGCGAGCTTTCCTGGAGCTGGCTGTTGACTTTCAGCGCCCTCTCAGTGGGGATGTCGGTGTGCGTTTGGGGTGGGGGGGCAGTCTCGGGCATCAGGGTCAGCATCCGCTCGGCCATGTTGTTCGATCGATCACCCCCACCTTTTACTTACATCGTGCTATGAATGGATAGATCGGCCGAACCCCTCACGTTCACCTTGCGGCTGCCGCCGCCGCTCGCTTCCGCTCTGTCGCTGTACAGCGCCTTCGGTTCGAGTACGGGGACAGGCACGGGGGCGATCCGTTTCCTGGCGAATTCGTAGTTTGTGCTAGCTTGATGCGGTGGAGTGGATATTCTTGGGTGGAGGATTGGTTGGGCGGGTCGTTCATGTCAGAACTTGTCGAGGCACATCCGTGCTCCCGCCTCTGGCCGTTGAGCACCGGCACGCCGCTCCTTCCTATTCGGGCGGGCCCCCTTCCCCGCGGTCCACTGCTTGATCGCGGCGAGGCCCGCCTCCTGTAAAGTCAGTGCGTCGGCCCCTCTTTCGACCCATCGGCGCGCATCAGGCTACGTCTACTCCTCCTCCTCGTCCTCCTCCTCCTCTTCCTCCTCCCTCTCCTCCTCCTCCTCCTCCTCCTCCTCCTCCTCCTCCTCCTGCGAGCGGTTCACGCAACGCCTGCCGACCGAGGAGGGGTATCACGAGGTGCAGGTCACCTGCGGCTTCCCCGCCGTCTGCGTCGAGTGCGCGCCGACGTTCTGGCCAGAAGGACTGCCGCCGGCCCAGGCCCTGCGGTCGTCTTCGGCCTCCTTGGGAGAGACGGAGGAGGCAGGAGGCCGCCCCAGAGCCCGAGGACGGCGAGCAGTTTCTAGGACCCGTTTCCCTCAGGACCCGCTTGTTTCATTAGTACGAAAGAATCAGGAGGAAAAGAAACACACAGACACAATGAATCGTCGACTCCCAGGGAAATATGCAAAAATAGGGGAAGCGGTGGGGAAGACAAAAACCCTGAAAATATGAGAAACTATATGGGGGATATGTTTATTTGTGTGCATTTAAGAAAGAAGACGCATAAATAATAAACATAAACATAAAACAAAAAAACAACAACAAAAAAACAAACAAACAAACAAAAAATGACATGACAGAGGTCCGCGCGGATTTTTCCTGCATCGGCGCCGGGGCCCCGGCGCGCGGAGCGCGCGACGGGGGGGGCGGTGGAGGGCGCCGCGAGGGGGGGCGAGGAGGACAGGGCGAGGACGAGGAGGACGAGGAGGACGAGGAGGAGGGCGCCGCGAGGGGGGACGAGGAGGACGAGGAGGAGGAGGAGGAGGAGGAGGAGCTGGAGAAGAGGAGGACGGGGCGAGGACGAAGACGACGGAGCGAAGAATGGTTCTCAAGATTTCGTAACAAAAGGGAGGGGGTCTGGACCCTCCAAGACGAGCCATTTCAGACCCCCCCCCGTGGGAGCGCCCTCCAAAGCATCGTCCCCAGACCCCCCCCAGGCCCTCCAAGATAGCCTGGAAGAGACCCCCCCCCGAAATGAGACCCCCCTCCCTTTCTTACGAAATCTGGAGCTCACGTCGCAGCGAGGCAGAGGCAATCCGCATGCGCGCTCTCCTGCGGGTCGGGCTGAGGCACGGGGTCCGTTGCCTTCGGAGTTCGAGAGTTTGCGGCCCCCGATCTGCAAGAGCAACTGGGTGGGGCGGGAGACTCGACGGAGGCAGCAGGGGTCGCATCGATTCTGGCGAGCCGTTGGAAAGATCCGATTTCCTGGGACGCGATGCGTGCCAACGAGTTGGTTCGTCATTTGCGATCCACGGCCTCCAGAGGCCTGTCGATCTGGCGTTGGGGCCCAGCCCGCGCCGTGTCCCTGCGACTCTCGCGGGGGAAACTCTTGCACTCGCTTCGGCAGTGGCCAAAGTCGAGGTCCTGCAGGTACTGTATAGGGACGCGGTGTACCAGGACATGGCGATTCCCCGATGTTCTAGAGCGATCTCTCCGTTTACCACAGCGTTGCGCCAGGACTGCCGTCTAGGACACAGAGAGAGGCAAGTACACGTGGTAGACGCTAAGGGTGCGTATGACACGCTAGCTAAAGACGGTCCGGTCAATGCCAACGACCGTCGCACAGCCGTGGAATTGGCAACAATATGCGAGTACTTGGGAAAGCTTCTGGGAGTAATACGATAGATACCACGCACCAAGATGCCCGTTGACTCATTGACCAAACATGACATAACCAAAGTGAACGCAGCTTTGTTTGATCTGATGGCCTCTAGAAAGCTGCTGGTGGTCGACGAGGCGAGCGAGCTAGTCGACAGACGTGCCGATCCGAAGAGCAAGGGCCTTTCTCAAGCCGCCACCGCTAGGGCCACTACTCGGGTCAAGGAAGAGATATCGTGGACCTCCTTTGTCGACTGTGAGGATGTCTCTTCGTAGGGCCCGGGAACTTACTCATGACATCTCTCTCTCTCTCTCCTCTCCTCCTCATCTTGTACGCAGTAGTTTTGCTTCGCCCGTTCTGTTCCAGTCTTGTCGCGCAAGAGGTGAGCTACCACAAACCTGCGGAAGAGCGCATTGTGAGGACACTGCGTCCACGGGACGTTCTTTAGCTTGCTACACTTAGTAGAAAGTTTGACTTGTGTGGAGACCATGCTGGTTTATTGTTTATAGGTTTAGCATTTTGTAGGACCGTGCAAGGAGCCCAAGGGAGAGAGGTCGGTGTGCACTGTCATCCGTTTTCGCGTCATGGCCCAAGGCCGAAGAAGCATCTACCGCTGCTCCTGCTGCCGCATCTCCAGATACACCCCCAGCCGAGCGGGCAGCTCAATCGCATCGCATAAGGCTCCTGAGCCACCGACTATTGGTGATCAAAGGCCGGATGCCAAGGAGTACAAGTGATGGTACCCCAAGCGCCGATTGGTTAAAGATGTCCGCGTCCTTTCCCGCGTTGCCACAGAGACGTGTTTCAGCTGTGCATCCCAGTGATTCGAGAAACATACCATACCGTTGGCGACATACTATGTTCAATGTTGTGGGATTGGCCCACCACTGAACGCCACAAGCGAATTTACGCAGCTGCCAGGGAAAGCGCGTGCAGCATCGACTTATGCATTGCACGCGAAGGATTGACAACCCTGCGACAACCACTCGAGTGGTGTCGAAGCTATGGTCGCCCATGCAGTCACGCACCTTCAGGCGCGGAGCTACGGCAGGATCCCAACCATTATCGATAGTTAATCTGGGCTCGCAGTTTGCAGCCGCAGTCCTGGCCCGCCGACATTCGCAGACGATACAGCGGATGTCTGGCAGGTAAAGGCTGACCTCTGGGATCAGAGAACAGTCAAGAGAAATGATGTTCGAGGTATGTTGGCATTTCTGTCGATTCGGTAAGCCCGTTGCCGATCGTGACAGTTTGGCACGTCGTGTGTCTACCAGGCTTGCACAAAGGCATGCGACTCACTGGCGAACACACTGGAAACACGTTTAAGCGATGGGGAGGGGGCGCGAAGGTGCGCTATGCCTGCAGACATGGACTCCTTGACGCCACTGCGGAACAAAGAACCTCCTGGCAGCATGCTTAAGAGTTCGTTGGTGATAGGGATCGTTCTCAACGGTCGCACTAAAGTAGGCTGAAGTTGAGCTCCAGGGATCGCGTTCGCGATGCCTGGACTCCGAGAATGACACCCATTTGGTTCTTGAGATTTCATGCACCTGGAGCGGAGTGTGATCTGCGGCCAGGCGCCGATACGTGGTCTCGAGAGGGAAAGCATTGGTAATATACCTGCCGTTGTGGTCGCGGCCAGGAGTTCAAGGAAGCGTTCTGTCCGTCGTCCTTTGCATCGTTGTTCTGGCCTCGTGCGTCTGCCTTCGTGTGATTCCCACTTGCATCGTCCTGTCGTCGTCTCTCAGTCCCTCCTGTCAACTTGTCTTGCGCTTTTCTCGGGCTCCCTCACCCTCAATCTCGCCCAGCCTCGCTTCTGCAGCGACCGTCTGACCTGCCATCGGTCTGCGTTAATGCTTCCTCGATGTGATGTCTGCACGTTTGCGCTCCAAGGCGTTTCGGGGTGACCAGTTGCCGCTTGGATTTGGTTCTAGTTCCACGCGCGGTTCTCGGGATGGCTCTTCCATGTATTGGGCGCGCTGTGTGCACCCGCAAGGCTCTTGAGCCCCAACACGGCTATCCGCGCACGGTCGATCACAGACCGAACCCGGTATGGATTCTCCTCTCCAAGGCTCTCGCGTCAGATTGTCGGTTCCCCACCTTACCAGATCTGCTCGCAGGACCCCCGAGGCTCAAAGCGGCCTCTTGCAAGGCGCGACTCCGCCCTGACTGACCCCCCCGAGGAGTTTCCGAGGGCGCCCTCCCCCGGCGACACGAGGGGCAACGTTGGGCGGGGCACCGGCTCAACGGAGGAGCAGCAGCTTGGAGTCGGCGGCACATCGCCGATCCATCGACGACGGACCCCCGATGGCGAGCCCGCACGCTCTTGGGCGGGGCGGGGCATCAGGCCCCCATCGGCGATGAGTGGGCGAGCGGGGGTCGATGCACCCCCTCCTGGGCCCACTGCCCCCGGACGTCGCCCCTCACGACAGCCCCTCCGCCCCCACAGGTGGTTTACTGCGTGCTGGCTCTGGCGTCGGCCTCCTGCGTGCTGCTCCTGGCGCACTGCGCGGCGCGAGCGGCCGCCCGGTGGCAGCTGCGTCGGCGCCCGACCGAGGAGACGGCCCACGCCGCCCACGCCGCGAGCAGCAGCGAGGATGTCCTGTGGGAGGCGCGAGGGGCAGCGCCGCCGCCACCCCCGGGGCCAACTCCAGCGGAGGGGTCCAAGATGCCTCCCCCATGGGGACCCCCCTGGCTCCTCGCGCTGGTGGCAGAGGTGCCGCTGCTCCTTGCTCACGGTGTGGGCCCAGGCCATGCTCCAGCAGAGGGGCGAAGCTTGGAAGCGTGCCAGCCTGGAGCGAGGTCTCCGTGGGACACCCTTTCTGTGAATAAATAAATCAGGAGGGGGAAGAAACACACAGACACCATGAATCCTCGATTCCCCAGGAAAATATGGGGAAATATGGGAGTTGGGCGGGAAGACAAAAACCCAGAAAATGTAGGAAAATATGGGGGGTCGTTTTATTTGTGTGTATTTATGTGTGTGTCCTGGGGCCCCTTCAATAAAGCCATCCTGGAGCTTGGGGTCTTCTGGATGCGCTCTTGGGCCGCTCTCCGGCGCTCTTGGGGCAGTCTGGGGGGTCTCTTGGGCCCCTCTTGGGCCTCTCGTGGGCCCTCTTGAGGCCTCGAAGACACAGGGCTCGTTTCGATTCCTCCGATTCGATTCGATTCGATTCGACTTCGATGGATTCCGATTCCGATTCGATTCGACTTGGGCTTCCGATTTGGATTCCGATTTCTTATTGGAGGCATACTAGCCTGCCGATTTCCGCCGATTCGACTTTTCCCGATTCGGCTGCCGATGTCTGCCGATCCGATTCATGTCGATTGCCGATCCGATTTATCGATTCGATTCTGGGCATTCCTGAAGACACATCAGAAGCGACAAGGGGAGAAGCTAGAATTTGCTGATGCTCCTCAGGTTTTCGAAGGATGTTGACCTCTTGAGGGGTCCTGAGGGGGCTCCGCGAACAGTTGTAACCGTCTTGTGGCCCTCGTCGGGCCCCTTGGAGTTATGTCGGAAGCTATCTTGAACCATCGTCGGCTATGATGAGCCATCATGGAGGCCACATTGAAGCATCGGACGCCATTTTGGAGCCATCTCGGGCGAACACAAAAAACCCTAACACGTCGCGGCCCGCCCCAAAAAAAACTCGGGGCGAGGCAAACCTCCCTGGAAGGAAGAGGCTTTTGGAAGAGGAGAGGAAGATATCGCTAAGACCACCTTGGCCCAAAGGGCTGGTGGGATTATACCTGCCACCGGCCACCTCATGTACCCAACGCCCCCAATATCCCCAAAAGACGCCCCCAAGAGGCACCCAGGAGGCTCCAAGAGTGCCCCCAAATGACCCCCAAGAGACAAACATTGATGTTCCGTTAAGTGTTTTCGCCCTCTGCCGCCGGCCCCCTCTCTAACATTATTAGCGATGCCAGAGCTAAGCTGGGACGTGACGGCGCTGTTTTGAAACCTTTGGAAGCATCATGCGAGGACGATTGGCATCCAGCAGGCACCTTGAAATGCTGGAGGTGTTGTTGAACGCTTGGCTCCCTTCTCAGACCGCGAAGCTGGCGCAATTTACCAGAGAATCTGGCTTCGGGAGCGCGAATCTGGTGTACTTTGGAAAGGGTTCTGGCATCGGGAGCGAGTCTGGCGTGCTTTACAAAGGGCTCTGGCCTCGGGAGCGCGCGGATACGGTGCAACGTACAAGGGATTAGGGCTTCGGGAGCGCGGCATTGGCGTAATGTACGTGAGAGTACGGTTTCGAGAGCGCGAATCCGGCGCAATGTATGATACAGTCTGACGCCGGGAGCTCGAATCTGGTGCAATTTGCGGTAGATTCAGGCTTCTGGATCGCAAGCCTGATGTATTTTACAAAGGGCTCTGGATTCGCGAGCGCGAACCTGGCGTACAATACGGGAGCTTATGGTTTCGAAAGAGCGAATCTGGCATAATTCACAAAGGTGTTTGGCCTCGGGAGCGCGACTCTGGTAGAGTCTACGAAACATTCTGGCCTCGGGGGCGCGAATCGCATGTATGCTCACGTGTCCCCAGGGTCCCCCAGAAATTGAAAGCACGCGAGTCGGGCGTGGTGGCCAAGGTGGTTTTCGGTTCTGCCCCCTCGAGCGGACACTGACAATTTACAGTAGGAAAGAAATAGTAGAACTACAACACGGGGGACTGGAACTGTAGCAGGTTACAGGCCCCGCAGCCTGATCGTTTCTCCTTTGCTTCCCCATGATTTTGCATTATTCCTTTTCTATTGCCCCTTGTCTTGTGTGCTCTCCCTTCGTCCCCTCGCTTGGTTTCCCTTTCCCTCCCCTTCCCCGTCTCCTCGTCTGTCCGTCCGTCGGCCCGGTCTGTCCTTCCCTGTCGTCCGCTCTCGCCCCCTCCCCCTTCGCCCCCTCCCCCTCCCCCTCTCGCTCCTCGGCTCCTCGCTTTCCCGTCGGCCCCGGTTTCTTGCCTTGCCCGCGTTTCTTTGTCGGCCTGTCCTGTTGACCGAACAAGAGAGCGCTGTACTTTTCCACCCGTGCTCACGCCCACGCGCCGCCTGGTGTCTGGCTTGTCTGTCTGTCTGTCTCTTCTATTCCCCACACAGTACTTGCACTTAGGAGCTCTTACTTTGGGATGGAATAAGCCTCCCGCAGCCTGATCGGTTCTCCTTTGCCTCCCCCATGATGTTGCATTCTTCCTTTTCTATTCCCCAAACAGTACTTGCACTTAGGAGCTCTTACTTTGGGATGGAATAAGCAGCTGGGCCTGGGGGTCGGCTTGGCGGCTCTGTCGTCGTCGTCGCCGCTTCGACGCCGCCCGTCGTCGGAGCCCGGGTCGGTCTTGCGGCCATGTCGTCGCCGTCGCCCTCCTCGTCGCCCGCCCGCCGTCGGGGCCTGCGCTGCGTCGCGTTGGTGTGCACTGCTACGCCGTGTGTTTGCATCGCGGTGCTCAGCATTCCTCGACGTTGCCTCGCGGTGATTCGCGCTGCCGCGTCGTGCTGTGCACTGCTTGTCATTGCGCTGCGTGTTGGTTTGCAGCGCGTCGGCTCTGCATCGCACTGACTTGCAGTGTCGCGCACTGCTTTGCACCACATGGATTGCACCACATTGCTTGCACCACCGATTTTGCACCGCATAAACTGCCATAAATCTTTGTGAGGTCCACACTGGCTAGCATCCCTGTTTCAACAACACAAAAAAACAACTAAAAAAAATGTCTCACCCCGAGACGTGTCGGTAGGGCGGGCCGGGCGTCCCCCACCATTTATGATTTCGCAGCTTAGAATATACACGAGCTTCACGGATGGAGGGCGGGCCGTATTCAAAATGTGGTTCTCGCAGGGGCGCTACGCACAGTCGTTTTTTAATGCGCAACGTTTTCAAGGATGTAGGGTTGGTTGTTTCAAAATGTGATTGTCGCCTTAGCGCCGTGCACATTCGCTTTAAAAGTTTGCACGAGTTTTACGGATAGAGGATGGCTCTTTCTCAAAATGCGGTTATCGTCTTAACGTTGTGCACATTCGTTCGGTAATTCGCAAGAGCTTCACGAATGGACGACTGCTACTTGCAAAAATGCTATTCTCGCTTTAGCGCCGCGCGCATTCATTGTAAAAGCTTGCAAGAGCTTTACTAATGCAGGGCGGCTCGTTTTCAAAATGTTGTTCTCGCCTTGGCGCCACGCACACTATTGCGCAAGAGTTTCCAGGAGTCTTGTGGTCGAAGTCGGGGGATTTTTTTGTGACGGCACGGTTTAGGATTCTCAGGGCGCAAGAATCACGTTGATTCGTGAAGTCCCATGGGCGGTGTTCTAGTACGGTTATGGACCCTCAGAACGCAACAGTAACGTTGATTCGCGGCGTCGAAGTCCCAGAAATTATGTGTTGGCACGAATGAGTATCATCAGATGATTGTCTTCCAACGGGGCACTTCCCGCAGTGAAACGGACTTCTTCTAGGGACCTATGAAGAGGGATCTTGGAGAGAGGGTTTACTGCAACATGGTTGATGCGTCTTGGGTTTACACTGGTCCTCCCCCTCCTCCTCCTCCACCTCCTCCTCCTCCGCCTCGCCATCGTGGTATCGTCTTCCTTCTGCCCACTCGTCCCTGCCCTTCCTTCGTACCCCTTCGGCCTCCGCCGCTTCCTTTTGCTCATCCATATCCTCTCTCCTCGGTGCTTCCTCCCCCCAGCTCCCGCATCCTTCGTCCCATCGAAGCCAAGGACTCCGAGCAGCATGCAACAGGCGCCCAGCAAGCCCCCAAGAACGCCCAGAGAGGCCCGGCCGAAGTCACGAGAAGGATACCTCTATATCGCGCCACAGGCAGTGCCGACGACGGCCCCAGGCGCCCCTGAGACCCCCCCGGGACAGCCCCCATCCCCCCAGATCGCCTCAAGGTTGCGCAAGAGTTCCCCCAGAGAGGCCCAGACGCCCCCAGACGACGTCCAGACGACCCCAAGATACCCCCAAGACGGTCCCCAGCACTCGTCGGGTAGGCGTTCGGCATTCTCGCGCGAGTCCGCCGGCGAGGCCACCGCTCGTGCAGCGTTCTTGTCGAAATGTCGGGGCCTATGCCGCGAAACACGCAGTGGCGTCAGGGGTCTTCGTCGTCATGTCCCTCCCTCCTTTTGCACCCTTCGGATCCTGCTCCCTTCTTCGTCCTTCTCTACCGCCTCCTACGGGAGGCAACGAGATCGAAGAGGAGGAGGTGGGTCTGGGAGGGCACATCACGAGAATCGTCATCGTCGTTGTCGCCGTCGTCGTCCTCCCACTGCGAGTCCCCCACCTCTCCTCTTTTTCTCTCTCTCTCTCTCTCTCTCTCTCTCTCTCTCTCTTTCTCTCCCGTCCGCCGCATCGCCCCCTTTCAAAATGCCCCTATGGGCCCCCTTTACCGCAACCTACCAACAGACTCTTTTGCTGCTGGTTCTGGTGACCTTGTTTGGACCTCTCTTGGCATCCCCGAAAGCCTTTCCCACGGCTCTCTTCGGGTCTCATCGGGGCATCCATGAACCCGTTGGAAGGCCTCAAGAGTGCCCGAGAGGGCTCCCGACGCAACCTCTCCCAAGGGACCCTTTGGTGGTAGGTTCGGACGTCTCCTGGACCTTTTTCGGATTTAGTGCGGCAT